GGGAAACACTCCGGCTTTTTCAGTTATATATACAGACCGCACCAATAGTATCGACCGCGTCGACGGTCTGCGACTTACTGACGGATAGGCGAAAATACACCGCGAGAAAGAGAAATAGTTCGCCATGTGCGTGCAGCTTACAGTCAGGTAAGAGCAGGACAGCACAAATCTAGATCTGCGTAATCGTGCAAAACTGCGACGAAGGCAGATATGTGAGAAAGACAGAGAGGAAGAAAGTGTGTACGAGTACGAACCAAATCGAAAAAAATGACTGATAATGTGCATAAAGACTGCTGCTGGCACGTTGCATCTGTTACCAACGGAGCTAGCACATTGTCAAACCTACCTATGTATATCTGGCAAGTAATACAGCATCTACGCTTTGCATCTTTATATTTTTCTCAATCCCAGTGTGCATTAACTTTTTAAGGTAAATAAACAGAGGGTATTGTATAACATAGCATGAAAATAGGGCAGAATAAACAAAGAAAAAGAGGCGTGTACGAAATAGAGAGGACCCATGAGGAGAAAGAGACGAAAAACGCAGTTGATGCTCTTCTTCTGCGCAAACGAGATGCGCACTCGTTCTTATGCTTGGAAACGTTTCAGATTTGTTTTCAAATACTGGTTCTTTTTCTTTTTGCAATTTAACATGTAATGAAAAAAAATTGTTCCTTTCGATCATTAACTTTAATTCCGTTGAAAAAGGTAATCGAAAGTAAATACGTATTTCAGAGTAGCAAGAGTTTTATAATGAGTTAAATTTGTGTTATTGTGAGGTAGATTGCAGAAAAAGTTGTCCCAACTTAACACACGCTTTCTAAATGATGTTTAAAAGTCTAAAACTATTTTGTTGAAATGTGTTGCGTATTTACCCGGTAATAGATGAAGGATTGAACGAAGACTACAGGGACATGATTGCTGTAACATGTTACGTGACTTTTTGCTTCCCGCTATCATCCACTATTACACTATATACACAGTGAGTTGAATAAAACTGATGTTAAAAATATTTACTTGTTATGAGGAACAACTGTAAAAAATATCGCAAATTTCAATAGGGAAAATTCAATTTTAAATTCTAGTGATAATAAAAATATTAGAAAAAATTAAAAGAAGAACTACATATGTATAATAAATAAATAATAACATTGTTTGAGATACATAAAAAATATGCTGACCCAATTGAAAAGTAAAATTTAAATGCCTATTTTCCATCGATCCTATCGAATCGATAGCACAAGTAGATTCCGACGTCATAGGCCAGACAACCTTATGAATTTGAATGAAGAAGCAATTACAAAGGTTCTATTCAGGAAATTTTGTATCGAATTAAGGAATGAAGAAACCAGTTCATGACAAAAAATGAAATAACTTTGTTTTATCACGTAACTATTTTACATAATTTTGAAATCGTTAGAAGAGAAACGATTTTTTTAAGAGAAAAAATGAACAGTACTAATTACGCACATATTGTCAATAGAAAATAAAATATAATTTTACCTTATAAATTATACGAAATATTTTTTAATATAATCCCGTAAAAAAATTCAAGTTCTTTATCTTCTTACTAATGTAAATAAATCGATACTTTCAAATCATTGAACTTTTACTAGATATTACGACCTTGTTTCCATTAAGCTTATATTGTTTCGAAAATAATGTAGTACTATAAGAAGATTGTTATTGAAACAAGGAAGCATGTTACGTTTTACGAGGCACTATCACTGAATATGCAACATATATTACGTCCCAACAAGGAAATCTTTAACTGTGTTCGAAGTTTACGTTATAAGAGTCGAACACAAATATGGCGCCATCTATTGACGTTTCCTTAACGCTGTAAAACGTACAACATGACGTTCGTTTCGGGATTCATTTACCTGATACATATGCAATAATGAAAATTTGTTAACATAAACATTTATGTAATAGTTCATAATTATGATCTAAAAATACAGTTAAAATTGAAAGTTAATTTATAAATTTTATTCTTCTTGTTCGAATATATGAATATTTCTCAACGATGAAAAAGTAATCTATCCCGTTTCGAAGTAATCGATTCTGAAACATCCCCCTCTACTATCGTAACACCAGCGATTCATATTTAGGAATCAGTCAAAATATGAGTCTTTATACTGCTTGTCATAACCAATTTTTCTATAGTACATGTAGCTCCATTACCATTAACATTTGTTTAACTTATCTACAAGTTAAATACTTTGAACCATTAACTACATTATCTCAAAGAATATAGTGTACAATCATGTTAAATTAAACAAATATTTAAAAAAAAAACGGTGATCTTTTTAACAATGAAAACATGAAACTTACCACGTTCCAGATCGTTAAATATTTCAATTGTCCTGGATCGTACTTTATGAAACGAGTTTTAAGCATTGGCAGGTCAAGCATAAACCCTCTGTACAACGTAAACACGTACATTAGGTACATTGACGTGTGGAACAGCTGATTTATCGTGCACGACATTTTGTCGAAATCCTGTAGAAAAAAATATAAAATAAAACGTCAGGTGAATACTTTAAGAATATCGTTCTCATATTAAAGTTGCTGTGACTGACATGTAACCCCCCACCAGAGACTTGTGACATTATAGGTTAGGTTCAACTGATTATAATCGTTAATCATTTGAAAATACATACTCTTTATAAGGTTGTGTGTAAGATTTTTTTTTTATCAACGTTTACATATTTTTTCTATGAATTTATGAATTATATGGGAATAAATATACTATTCATTTACTGAATACAAAAAACAATATCGAGATAATTCAAGTCACAGGAAATGACAAGTAATTCTGTAAACTTTATAAGACTAAGAATAAGCATAAAAATTTACACTATCACAACTTTTTTCATTCAGAATGCATACATTCCGTGAACCAAAATCTTATCTTATCGTAATTGTGCCAATCGTCACAGTAAAAGGGGCCAGATAGTAATAATGAACGATAAATTTTCAAAATACAATACATTACCCGTTTAACACTAATCTTTTACGTAATTGTAAGAAAATAGAAATCTACCTGGTTGTGCAATGTCAAGTGTATCAGTATGCGAGACTTTTTTGTATAACTAATTAATGTTTTTTACATTATAATTGCACATATCTAAGAGAAGAGAATTAACAGGTTACACAACAATTTTCTATTTTTCAATAAAAAAAAAAAAAAATGAAAATCATCCATTCATAAGCCTATTTGATTAGATAAAAAATATTTCAGATATTAAAGAAATATCAAAGGCGTGATTATTTAAGATAAAATGTGTCAATAAATAAATGGAAAAATATCGAATATATTTTTGGAAGAAACTTTTATTGAACATCGCCTAAGTTCGATCCTTAAGATCTTGCGGAAGAAGAAACAATCATTTCAGTCGTTAGACCGTAATCAGTATTTATTGGCACTACTTGACTTGTTAGTATATAACAGCTTTACTGCAAATGACATGCCTCGAACTTGTCGCTTGTATAGTCGGTGGAACCGATATAGTGAGGTCGTAAACTATAGCATTAAATGACGACAACGATTGATATAGCCACACCCAGGGCCGTGCGTAATTTGTCAATTGATATTTAAAATTTCTGCTCACAATCTTTCATAATTTCAAATTAATACGAAACCGCCTCGAACGATGCACGAGCTCCTTATCTCTCGCAAACTGCTGTTTCGCTTAACCGATTTTACGATGTCGCTATATCGATTCCACCGACTATACAGTGTTGCCGGAAAACAACTAAAAGAACTCCCTCGTCGGATTCTTCGGTTTCGTGATTCCAGAAATTATTACTTTGTACCTTAACAGCAACGATAGCAAAGCTACGAGAATGAAAAACTACCAAAGTGAACATATGTAACTCAGTATGCAGTACACGCAGTATTACAGTTTATACTTAATGCTAATGTAACATTAACATAATAATTGTACAAATTTCAAATAAGTTCAAAGAAACGTCAAAACATTAACTTTTTTTAAATATCAGTTTATGCATTATTTGAAAGGGCTTATTCGAAAGGGCCTTGACAGAAAGGGTTTTCTTCGAGTGGTCTATCGAATGATATGTACCAAGATCGATTCAGTTTGGGGGCACTTTTACCATGCTTATTCGGTTAGGCCCTTTACATACGAACTAAGTGTCTAGAACCTGTTTACGTCAGTTGATAAAAAATCTATAAAAATAGATAGAGTCTCTGGTATCGAATTGAATTGGATTTCCTGTCGCGTGTAGTATCATTAACAATTTCTTTGGTTAATTTTCCCAGAGGTACGAATGACATTGATGATGGGCCGAGGAGAATAATCAAGGTGAACTGCAATAATTATATCACGTATGAACCCATGATGATCGAACGGAAATCCTCTTGGTAGCATGGCATATACAACACGCCTGCACACGCTAGCATGTACACGGGCAAATTCAGAAGAACAGGTTTTTAACGGGTATGCATGTTCAGCTGAACATCATTGTTTTCGAATAACGATGATACGCCACTATTCTGTTCGCACAGAAATTCCAAAATCACCAATTATATCACTAATCTTGAAAACAAGTCGTAGATGACGTAGTTCTAATGAAAAAAAAAAACATTAGATAAAGCATGTACATAAAGGAGATAATTTAAAAATTATTAATTTCAATCGATAGATGTGCATAAATCGTCTAAAAAAAGAAATGATTGCGTAATTTCGCGAATCGACTAGATATTTTTATTCTGTTCTCGAAGTTCTTGATGTTTACCGTCGCTTTTTATAGCAAACAGCTGCGATTGATTTCTCGAATAACTCGTGTTGGACTATGTTGTTTTAAAAAAAAGTCACATCGATTTTCCTAACTTCTCTTTTCAACCAACGAGATCAAAACTTTGACTTCATACTTTTTGTACTTAGCGATTATCT